GGGGTGGGCTATCAGGCCCTATTGGCGATCCATGGGCGACTTGGGGTCGATGCATCCCCTACTCAAACTACCCCCCCCCCCTGTGATCCTCGTCGTCTGGTTTTCGGGTCAGAACTCGGGTCTCCGGTGGCCGTTCGAGACGATCCCGGCACCACCAAAAGTCTCTCGGCGAGGCGCAGCTGCTGGTGGAACGCACGCTGAGGCTGAGAAATCACCGAGAACCGACGATGACGTCCGAAAACGCTCCTTCCCTCCCTCCCTTCCTCCCTGGCTCCCTGAGCCTTTCCCTTACGTTACCCCTGAGCAGATCCCTACCGTTGCCCCCTAAAGTGGCTCCTGATCGCAGGGACTACCCTCCCTAGCGCTGGGCGTTGCTTAATGAGGGAACGATAAACGGGGGGCACCTGTCGTGCGCCTTTTGGGCCCCATGGGGCCCCTTTAGGGCTCCTTTGGGACACGAAAGGTGCACCGTTCTTCCACCTCGGCTACACGCAAGAGTGGCCCTAGACAAGAGTGACCTTTGGTGCGCGGCCCAGGGGGAGGCCCTTTGGGGACACCACCGGGCGCGCAAGCCGCTGCTATCGCATCACATTCAGCGATCGGGGGGGCCCCATAGGGCTTATTCTGGATGTGGCAATAATCGCCCCCCGTGGATCCACTGGGGGGGTTGGGCACGTGCTGTCGGAACGGGTGGCGGGGGTGTTGAAGGAAGAGGCTGAGAAGGGGGAGGAGACTGGAGGGGGGCGGGATTGGGCGAGCTCAGCCGGAAGGTGAATCACCTCCACTGTAAGAAATACTCCATCCAGAGTACGTGCAGCCGCCATGGACAAGGCATAGCGGTCTAGAGGCCTCCGGGGTGGGGTCCGAGCAGGTGGGGTCGGGGAACTGCGCCGCATCGCCAATGCATCGGCGATGCACCGGCGACGTCGGCGTGGAGAAGGCCGGGCTCCGCATCGAGCCGCATCGTCGATGCATCGGCGATGCAGCGCGATCCTCCGACCCCGTCTGCCCCGACCCCACTTGGGAGGCCTGGAGCGCACGGGCCTCCCTGGCCTGGCCACCCTCGCGCCTCTTCTCCGGCGCGCCCGCGCCAGCGCGCAGAGCGGCCCGGGGCGCCCGCGCGCCTCGGGCCTCTCACAGCGCACGGGCGTCGGCGCGGCGTGCGCGGCGCCGCCTCGGCCGGGCGCGCCCGCCCCTCGAGCGGGTGGCCCCGCGGGGCCCCGAGAGGCCCCGGAGCCTGGCGCGAGTCTGCAGCTCGGGTTCCGCTCCTGCCCCTTCCTCGCCTCCCGCTCCTCGGCCCCGCTGCCTCTCCCGCCCCTGCCGGGCCACAGCTGGCGGTAGGCTCAGCTCTGTCTCAACCTGCACCGTCTCCGAAACTCGGCACTCCCAAGCAGCCGCAAAGCGGGCTCTCCAGCGAGTGCGCAGTCTTCGCGCCGCCCCAAGCGCTGCGACTACATGACATGACTGACTGACTGGCTGGCTGACTGGGGCCTTGGCCTCCAAGTGCCGTCGCCTGGTCTCGGGACCGTCAAAAAACAACTCAGGACGAAGAACCAGCCCTCGGGAAGCTGCCCACGCCTCGCGGCGAGCCATGGGGATAGCGAGACGGGGCGGGCCTTCTCAGAAGGCTCAGAAGTTCCCCCGGCCTTCCGAAGAGCTCACTATGCCTTTCCCGAAGACGAAGAAGACCTCTTAAAAGGCCCGAGGGGCTTCTCAGAAGCCCCGCCGCCTTCTGAGAAGGCATTATCCTTCTCACTTCCCCCCCTTGCTTGCTGCCGAGTTTGGCTCTTGGGTCATTGTTCGGGTCTCCATCGGGCGTTCGGGACGATCCGGGCACCCCCGGAGAGCCCGCGGCGAGGCGCAGCGAGCTGCTAGCAAGCACCCCGAGGCTGGGCAAACCGCCGAGAGCCGAGCGCCGACGACAACGCCCGAAGGCCTCGGACCTCGAACCTCGAAGCCGAGAGCCCCCCCCCCGCCGGGCGCGCCGCCGATCGAAGGAGGTGACGCGGCCGCATGGCCGGGCCGCTCTCGGCTTCGGCCGTCTCGGCTGCCGCTCGGCGGCGCAGCCCCCCGGGGGGGCGGGCCAGGCGGAGGGGGCGCGGGCCCTCTCGGAGGGCAGGGGCTCGGGAGGCCTCTGACCTTCCGGGAAGCTCTCGGAGCCTTCTCCGAAGACATGCACACCAACACACACACACACACACACACACACACACAAATCCGACGCTCCCAAAAAAAAACTGGAGCGGGCGGTTTTGGGGGCTGTTTTCGACCTCCAGGGGCACTCGCCGGGCCTCGGGACCGTCAGAAAACGATCCAGGACGAAAAACCGGTCCTAGGAAAGTGGTCCAGACCTACGGGGCCCACGCATCGAAAAAAATTGAGCAGCTGGATGTCTGGGCACGAAGCTTTTCAGAACGCGCCAGTGCCTCTGAGAGGTCCCGCCGCCTTCTGAGAAGGCCGCCCCCCTGGCGCCACCCCTCCTCTGCGCGCCTCCGAGAGC